CTTTTCTTCAGCATGGCCTGCGACACTGCCTCATTGATGCAAACGCCTAGTGTACATGCTATCAGAAGTTGGACATGCCCAGCTCTCTAAAGGACCACCCCATCACCAAGAAACAAGTCAAAAACTCTACGCAGAAAATTGCTGAAAATTAATCTAGATGAGGATGTTGTTTATGACGCTACAGAGCAAGTTGAATAGTCAAAAACGTCTTTATAGTAAACAGAAGAGACAAAATTATAAAATGAGCAGAAAAAATAAAATTTAAGAAACATTCTATAATTATTAATAAAACTCCTACTATGGATTGGCATGTTCTAAATACTAGAGATACAGCAATGAACAAGTAAATAATTATTTGAGGACAAAAAGTTCAAGATTTAACTATAGAAGTATATAATGCCAGAACTAAGCCTCAACTTCTTTCCCGTCTCAGCATTTCCCACACAAGAGGTAAAAGACTTGGTCACATGGACCTATCAGAAAGTAAACTTACCAAGGAATTCTTAATCACTTCACTTCTATAAAATTCTGGAAAAGAAGGGGGGAGGAAAAAACAATAAGTGATATGGAAAAAATGAGCTCATTAACTCACTTTTAATCCTGTAAAAATTTTAACAGACATTCCACTAAAACATTTCAAACATTTTCAAGGGATCGGTTCTGTCTTCATTCTTATGAGCAAAATAAAAGCAAGAATTAAATAAGAGTGTTTAAAGGGGAAAGCATCAATAAAGAGTGGTCGGACTCTTTTTTAAAAGATTGAATTCAGTGATGTTTCCTCTACTGGCTCTTTTTATCCCAGATTCTCAATTGAGTCCTTAACAATGCAGGTTTTCTCCTTCTCTCCCCCCATACTCTGTTTTCCTCAAAAGTCATCCCATGGTTATCTACTATAGTGCTATGGAATGAATACTAATCTAGCAACCAGGTACCGTAAATTCTAAGCTCCGTCTTAAACATGCTGTCTAATTTCCGTAGGCTCATTCCTTCACTAGACAACTCAGGGACTAGATTTGTAACTGAAGGTCATTTATAAACATTCAAGTCCTGGTGGCGAAGTGGTTATGAATTTGACTGTCAACTTCAAGCACAGCAGTTCAAAATCACCAGTCACTCCTCAGGAGGAAGGGCTCTCTACTCCCATAAAGAGTTACCA